TGCGTGCGTTTGCACGTGCGAGAAAGAGGGAGAGAGAGAAAAACTTTCTGTATCGAAACGACAATGCAAGGACAATGACGACGACGACGACGACGATGACGATGTCACAAATCCCAACTCGGAAACATCTCACAGTCACGTGCGACGCTTCCGCGATACCACGTTTAACTTGCATTGCGCGATTATGCTGCTATTGCGCGCGTAATGTGCAAATAATTTCATAGTAGCGTCAGTTTTGGAGACAGACACATGTCACGGTGCTGTTAGACTTCCATATTCCACTTGGCATGTGAGCAGTCGCTCTTCTGTATGTGGCCTTGCTTTATGTGCAGCGTGACAGCTGCATGTGATATTAAAAGTTTTGAGAAAAATTGCAATTGTGTAGAGTTATATAAATAAACTGCTGCATTTTTATATTCTCTTGCAGCTCACTTTAATGGATGGAGAGAAAGATTGTCAGCAAAAGAAAGGGGCTCAGAGTGGCTTCCAGTCTCAGAGTAATGCCTCAGGTTCGCCACTTGTATCAGGGGAAGAAACAGATTGGGAGGGTATGTTTAATACGGAGAAGCACAGGGGCGATCTCGGGGACATGACATTTCGCATGGCAAACTATCTGAAGGAAGCCATGAAGATGATGTTTATGATGCGCAGCCATCATATGCTGACTGATGTGATACTGGAAGTCGGCTCTGAATTGTTCCATGCACACAAAGTTATTTTAGCAGCAGCTAGTCCCTACTTTAAGGTAAGATTGATTTTAATTATAGAAAACCATCACATTTTCTCAATTTAACTTATTTACTTGTCCTATTTACAAAGATTATTTTATTTAAATTGCAAAAGACTCGTAAGATTAATAAATCAACTTATGAAATAAAGGGCTTAGAGTCATAGCGAGATGTCTGTGTCAAATATAATGTAATTTATTGATTAAAAGTTCAACAAACGTTTTGATATCTGGCATCAGATCATCTTTAGTGAATTTAACAAAAGTGAAACAGATGATGCACATAGTTTGCATTAAGTATCAATCGCATAACTCGCATTAAGTGTATTCTCTCCATTGTAGTTTAAAATGTCAATATTAAAAATGAAAAACGTGAACAATAAAATCTTATTGTTTTCTCGGTGGCAAGTCATGTCGAGAAGCTGTCATCTCTTTTGTTGTTAATGATGGAAAGGATGTAATTGTCAAATAGACAAATAAGTCTATTCAAAACAAGAGAAGTGACAGCTTATTATTTTATTTCTTTATTTATTTCTTGTTTCGTTGAGATTCAACAAAGACGCTAAGTGATCTTAATTGTAAAATTTCAGGCAATGTTCACTGGAGGATTGAAAGAATGCGAAATGACAAGAGTAAAACTCCAAGGTGTCTGTCCAACGACAATGGCTCGTTTAATGTACTTCATGTATACTGGTCAAATAAGAGTTACTGAGATTACAGTCTGTTCGCTGCTGTCAGCAGCTACCATGTTCCAAGTATGTAAAATTGTATACAGTTATGAAAAGAAACGCATTGCATTAATAATTCTGTCGACTGATGTCATTTAATATATAAATGTGTTACAATATAGGTCAGCAATGTTATAGATGCGTGCTGTGTCTTTCTGGAAAGGCAACTGGATCCTACGAATGCGATTGGGATCGCCAACTTTGCTGAACAACACGGTTGTCATGATTTGTACCACAAGGCGAATCAATTTATCGTTCAGCACTTCAACCAGATATGCCAAGAGGAGGAATTTCTGCAATTATCCGCCATACAGTTGGTGGCGCTTGTGAGAAAGGACGAGCTGAATGTACAGGAAGAGAGAGAGGTCTACAACGCCGTGCTGAAATGGGTCAAGTACAACGAGGAGGCGAGGCGACCCAAGATGGAGCACATACTGCACGCGGTGCGCTGCCAGTATCTCACACCAAACTTCCTACGGGAGCAAATGAAAAACTGTGACGTGCTGAAAAAGGTACCGGCGTGCCGTGAGTACTTGGCGCAGATCTTCAAGGACCTGACGTTGCACAAGAAGCCGGTTGTGAAGGAACGTACTCCCAACACTCCGCGGGTGATATACATCGCCGGTGGCTTCTTCAAGAACTCGCTCGACATACTGGAGGGTTACAACGCCGACGACAAGACGTGGACGCAGCACGCCAAGCTGATTGTGCCTAGATCCGGTCTGGGCGGCGCGTTTCTCAAGGGGATGTTCTACGCAGTTGGTGGCAGGCACAATTCACCGGGAAGCAGGTTAGCGCTTCGACGCCAACTGCGCCTGACGTTCCAGAACTATTATGCCAAATGTAGTTATCAAGTGAAGTAGTTAGCGTGAAAGTTTACCACTGATAGATTGCTCTACGTCACCGCCGTGAATGCTTCAACTGGTGGAATGTGATCTTGAGATCAAGCTCAAAGGAGTCGCACGACTTTTTTTCAGATACGACAGCGATTGGGTAGACAGATATAACCCGATGACGGATCAATGGCGACCCTGCAGCCCGATGTCAGTGCCAAGGAACCGAGTCGGAGTTGCAGTGATGGACTGTTTGTTGTACGCCGTGGGTGGCAGTGCAGGTGCTGAATACCACAACAGTGTCGAATGCTACGATCCGGATCATGACACATGGACCAGCGTGAAACCTATGCACATCAAACGATTAGGCGTTGGAGTAGCGGTAGTGAACAGGTACTACTAGTCATCGCGCCGATATTTGTCGAATGATAAGATTGCTAATTTTAGCGGTTGCACGCTAAACTACATTATTCAAGTGTATTTAAACTTTAAAGTAATTTATATTGATTCCAATCGATGATTATCTTAGTATGAATTATTTAACACTCAGAATGTTCCATTATTTTCAACAGATTACTCTACGCGATCGGCGGTTTTGACGGCAAAGATCGGCTCAGCTCGGTAGAATGTTACCATCCGGAGAACGACGAGTGGACAATGGTGTCACCTATGAAGTTTAGTCGCTCAGGTGCCGGAGTGGCCAGCTTGGGTCAATACATATACGTTATAGGCGGATACGACGGAAAATCGCAATTGAACTCCGTAGAGAGGTACGATACTGAGCGCGACACCTGGGAAAACGTGAGCAGCGTCAGTACCGCTCGTAGTGCGCTCAGCGTCACCGTTCTCGACAGCAAATTATACGCAATGGGTAAGTACAACCTTGATCTTTAGCTAAAAAGTAAAGTTGTACAATTGAAAAGAAAAAAACAGTATATTATGTGTACACTGATTTCTTTCAGGAGGATACGATGGCACGACGTTTGTAAGCATAGTAGAAATTTACGACCCGACCAAGGATCAGTGGACCGAGGGTGTGCCGATGACTTCAGGCAGGTCCGGTCATGCCAGCGCGGTGTCCTACTATCAGTGTCCTATACACTGTGAACATTTAGATCATAATATCTCGTTAGAGAAACCGCCGTCGTGATACGCGGAGCTGGCGCTTTTTAGGCAATCCTCAGAAACAATAGTAAAATGACCGTCATTCTTTCATTCGCGAGAGAAATGTACAATACAAAGTGGAACTGTGGATTAGGACAATTGTGGGTGATCGACGCCTAGAACTCGACTGACAAGTATATTAGATGTAATTTTAGATGACACGCGACGAGTCATCGAACCGCGGACCAAGTTTGATTGGATAATTCTAGTTAGCTGAAAAAACATTTTCTCAACAAGTGAGGTAACTTTTACCGCAATCTTTAAATTTATCAAAGGACCAATTTATTAGGTTATACGCGACTGTACTACATTTTCACAGCTTTATCACTTTTTATCATAGATAGACTATAATTAATTACAGTGTACAAAGCAGTAATACAGTGTACATACTTATATTGTGAAGAAAATTATTTTTAAACAATTTACCAGCGTTTTTCTATCTAACAATCTTACAATCTTCAATTGCTATCTTTTGTAAGTAACGTGTCATGCTGTCGTAACTCATTTCCATTGATTATATAATCACATTGAAAGGAATGATAAAATAGCAATGTTCATAAAAATTGCTGCACACACTTATGCGCGTTAATATTATGCAGCCGCTTGAACTTATCTAAATACGAAAACGGCATTTTTATGGAAAATTATGCAAAAGCGATGCTTGGATGTTTAAAATGGACATTTAAAGGCAAAGATAAAGCAGACAAATTCCTGCAGTATAAAAAGTAATCGAATTCTTATAAAATATTTAATTTTTACGCACTGCCTTGTTCCAGTAAATTTCAGATAAGATGGCACATGTGGAATGCAAGAGATACGTCACGTGTCCTATGTGCAAAGGTGCAGGTGGGAAACATTACTTGGATACAAAATCTTTAACGTGTTTTTATTTGTTTTGGAATAAAAATATCTTGACAGGCAAGTCTGCTACATGCGCGGCGATAGGACCGGCTGCCTTATCTTCGCAACATGAGAATGCAAAACCAGCGCGAGTTACGAGAACGCGAAATTGCGAAACAGCATATTCGGGGGCTTCGGGAGATCCGCGTTTTCTTACATTATCTGATGGGTATCAGACACTCAATTATATTCTTTACACAATTTATTGCCTAACTAAACTTGAATGCAAAATATGTTCAAAATATATTATAAAAGCTCTACTTGTTTAAATTACATAAATTACATTACATAATATTTATATTTAAATATGTCTTGCTTCACAATAATTCCTTGTAGCAAATATCCAAAGGAAGTTAATCCTGTGACCACTTACGGAGACTATGCAGCTATGCTGGAAGACGATTATGAAGGAACACCGGAGGAATTTATGAATCCACAGAAAGTGCTAAAACTCGCCCTGCAAAGTTTAAAGCAGGATCAATGGCAGAGCACTATACCAGGTTTAATAAAACTCATGCATATTTCAAGGATTCAACCGGAATTGCTGGACTCCAGTATGCCTCGCATATATCGAACCTTGTGCAGGTCATTTTTCAAGACTTCTTGCTATATATTTATTTGTTCTATTTATTATTGTTGCAATGAGACGCATTATTATATTACAGTTTATTGAGAAATACAAGACCGCATGTCGTTAGAACCGTCTGTCAAATAGCATTGGAATTATATAAAACGGTCCAGTGCACGCAAAGGCCTGAGTTTGACGAACTTACCTCTACGTTACTTTTAAAAAGTACACATACCAACAAGGGAATTCGAAATGACGCTCAACGTGCTTTAGATTCCATGGTGACACACTTGCCTCCTGCAACTTGTATTCGTATATTGGCCAGTGAACATGGTGCTAGGTAAATGAATATGTGTACCTTGTCTTTAACATATGCTCGCTTAAACTTATATTCAATAACTTATTTGTTATATACTTATTATGTATTATTGACTAGTCATGCTTAGATAGTAGAGTTCTTAATATTGATTCTTTATGTTTTATTTCACAGTCACAAAAATCCATTGATAAGAGCAACTGTAAGTCGGTTGCTTTATAACATTATTAATATCATTGGAGTGGAATATTTATTGTCAAACCCAAATTTCAAAGATACTCGTCGAAAAATATTCACGATGTGTGCAAAATTTCTTCTCGATGGTAATAATGAGACAAGGTATTTTTTTTTATCAATATACATCTACATTTAATCCTAATCTATGTGTTGTTCTATTAGATGTAAAAAAAGTTTCTTGTAATTACATTCGCTTTTTAAATGTAGAAGTACAATGTAACATGAATTTTAATATGTTAATTGTCTTTGCAGAAATGATGCGAAAAAGACATTGAAAACAATGATGGCTCATCAGGACTTTGATACTTTATTTTATCAGGACATAGACTGGAAAATTATTAGCAACATAGAAAAGCAATTAATTTCTTTAAAATACAATCAGATTCATAGTGTATAATATTGCTTGCTAATTTATGTATCAATAATGTAATGGCACTATATATTGTCTATTTGTGTAATAAATGATTAATCATTGTCCATTCTGGATAATAAATTATGTTGTTAACTATAACACTAAATTTACACGGAAATTAGACTTTTGAATAGCAAAAAACGTTCTAAAAAAAACAAAAAAAATTTCCAAAAAAATATTTTACGTATGCATTGATGATAAGTATACCGACTGCACTAATAAGAAAGGAGACAGAAATAGTACATCTGTTTTTTTCTAGTATCCGAAGGGTCCGAAGCTAGTCGAAGCGCGGAGCTTACATGTATATGGTTTGCGCATGTGCGGTATTCCCTCCTTTGTGCTACCTTCTCTCTGGTGCTACTTGCTGCTGCGTCTCAAATCTGGCGTCACTGCCTCCTGTGTTTATATTTGATCAAAAGTGATCAAAAGGTTATGTTTTGAATATGGCGTTCGTTGTTACTTGAAAACTAAGACCCTTCGACGACGCGATATCGAAAGATTCGCCGCGTTTCATAAACGTTTGTGAATTATTGGCGGGATCTAAAATGCGGTCGGATTATTGCCGACGTCGCGTATTGTCGACGTCGCGATTCCGATAAACGTTACCCGAACTTAAAAGAAATAACGCAACGCAATGAGATCTGTATACAAGTTGTTCTTGCTGTGCCTTATCCTCGCCGCGTTGATAATATTGCTCAATGTGACGACCAACTTCTCCAGCAATGATCAGACCGCCGGGAGGGAGCGTCTGATGCTCCAAAAGAAGGCTTTAGCTGCATCGGCAACGAATGAAGTGACGATATGCGTGGTGGTATGCGGGGACAGGCTGCACGAGGCCCTGACTATGCTAAAGTCAGCGCTGGTCTTCACCAACAAGCCGCTGCAGTTCATCATACTAGCAGAACATCAGCTGATACCAGCCTTCAATGAGAAATTGTCAGAATGGAAACTTATATCTAATAAAACCTTTGACTTCCTAGTACGGCCCATTACCTTCCCCGACGGCAGCGATGTGGCCATGTGGAAAAAGCTATTCAAGCCCTGTGCAGCTCAGCGACTGTTCTTACCAGTAAGCAGTAGTGGAACCAGCTAGTAATATTTCTTTTGTAACACAGTTAGATTTATAGAATTTATTGTATTTCAGACTGTGTTGAACGACACCGACGCAGTACTCTATGTGGACACAGATACCCTGTTCCTGGCACCACCAGAGAGAATTTGGGATGAGTTCAAAAAAATGAATGCCAGCCAGTTGGCAGCTCTCAGCCCAGAGCACGAGGATCCAAATACCGGTTGGTACAACAGATTCGCCAAGCATCCGTATTACGGCAAGTTGGGTGTCAATTCAGGAGTGATGTTAATGAATCTGACGAGAATGCGAGAGTTTCGATGGACCGACCATGTGATTCCCATTCACAAGGAGTACAAGCTGAAGATCACCTGGGGTGATCAGGACATCATCAACATAATATTCCATTATCATCCAGAAAAGCTGTACGTTTACTCCTGCCGATACAACTATCGACCGGATCATTGCATGTACATGTCGGTGTGCGCGGAGGCGGAAAGGGATGGTGCTCTGGTGCTGCATGGTTCTCGCGGCACGTTCCATTCGCAGAAGCAGCCGCCTTTCAGAGCTATATACAGAGCTATGCAAGAGTATCAGCTGAACACGGATCCGTACGAAGAGCTGCTCGTGCCGATGAGGAATTACTTGGTGATGGAGGACAAATCAAACTGCGGCCGAGTCCCAAAGGTGTTCATCATCCAGCCGGAGCTGCACTTGGCTCATAACTTTTAAGACTTGCTCGGTCATACCGAAAATCATATGCACTCACGTGAGCTTTTTGATTTGATATTTGAAATCTTTACACTTGTTTTGATAATTCATATCGATGTTTTATATATATTAAAGATATATGTCGAAGCAATAAACAGTAGAATATATATATATATAAACTCTTGTGCGTATTCGCACAAGGCCATCTTTTGGCCGTAATATAATACTATTCATGTCTTCTATCCAGAATGTTGAAAAGATTTTAGATCCTAAAATACTTAACTATACGAATACTTATATATACATATATACATGTCTTAACACGTTGTGAAGTGGTGTGTTCAATTACGCAGGAAGAAAAGATTATTCGAAGGCTCATTATATTGAAATATTCTGCTTCACTCTCGATGAGGATCTTCACGAAACTATGCATTGATATTATATAATACATAAGAAAGAAACAGCGGTAAATTAAATTTAGTCAATTAACGTATCCGGTTACTTATGTTGCCGCGTTAATTTATGCGGCCCGTCCACAATGTGTTAAGTCAGAGAATCTAGATTCGAGACTCATAAGCGCAGTTCTTTGCGATTTAGAAGGTATAACGTGTTGAAAGAATTCCAGACCATATTCTACATAGAGACTGAACTTTTTCTATGGTGCATTTGAGTTTTTTTGTTGACAAGTGCGCTATGTTGTTACTGTTTGTATGACGAGCGATGCGGCGAATATGTTGTTATACATTTTTATCTGATTCGACAATACTCGGCTCTAAGCCTAGCAAAGAAAAATGATGATTCTGAGCTTATCTTTTCAAGTATCTCAATAGAGTATTTCAATCAAATAAAAAAAAAAATAATTTCTGAAAAGGGAAAAAATGAGACTCGTTAGGAATATTGATTTTACTGCTACTGTTATTTATACAAGTCTTGCATATCCAACTTGTCTTCATAGAAGATAAGCTCTAATCGCAATGCAAACATGCGGGATTATTTTGAAAACGATATACGTAATGAGATGTACATTGTTTGATGAGACAACGGCAAGTATGAATCGTAATACTGTAATATAATGAATTAAATATCAGGAAAAGTGTTCGAAATTTTACACACGGTCTTCTTACGATTTTGTACAATTCGTACGATACGCATTTTTGTATCGTTTGATTGTTCAACAATTCGATTTGTGATACTTTTCTTATCGATATATTGTACAACAAAACCTGAATAAAGATCTGTCTAAATAATATAAAAGTTAACATATCTTAATACCTATTTAATCAACCATTAAATTTAATTAGATCTAATTAATCAATCTGTTCGACGAGAAATGTCCTGTTTTATGTACATCATAACATAATTTTTATTTTTATTCCACATTTCTCGCTATTAGAAGAAAAAAACCCCGCACTAATTTAAATAAAAAAAAAAAGTTGTACGAGATATATTCGTTAGAAAGTTCGAGACACACTCTTATTTTAGTTGAGTTGGTCATTAAAGTATAAAATATAATATTTTAGAAAATATATGAAATTATTTTGAATATTGCAGGGGAAACAATCCAATCGCGTGCAGGTTCGTGGCTTGTTAGCGTAGCGATGAACAAGGCAGGGGAACACGTTCGAGGGGGTCAGGCGCGAGAAGGGGCCTTGTGCGATCAGTCCTCTCGCTGCTGCTTTCCGGTTGCGGTGGCATGCGAACTCGTGAAATCGGCCTCGCGCGATTTTCTCCCGCTACAATGGTTCTTTGTGTCTAAAGGAAGTCTCGTTGGCGTTGAACAAATTAAAAGGAGCGTTGCGATATAGTCAAACCGAGTGAGGTTAGCCGGTTTCTCATTTATTCTTCCGGCTGTCGTAGATCCAGCTCTATAAATATGTGAACAAGGAGTGCTCGAAGGTATCAAGCAATGCAATGTATTTAAATTGCCTGATAAATTTGAGGAAGGACTTTACTCGAGAAACGTCGAAGATTATAGTTAATTAATGTTTTTGAACAAATAACAGATTAATTGATTATAACAGCTTATGATTGAAGAGTAACGTGCATATTTTAAGTGAACTTTTAGAAGAACAATAGCAACCGAATGCATTTATACAGTAAGATTGCTATTAAATATTCTTTGTATTTACTGAAAAAATAAAAATTCTGGAGTAATATCCTTTCTAAAATAATGGAGCCAATTAAAAGTGATGAGGGGTTTGTGAGTGAGCCGCTTGGAGTTGAGTGCACTGTTAAGCGGCGATTAAACACCGTCTTCTGAATTCTAAATGTAAAATCCAACGTCAAAATGGAATATAAAAACGAGATTGCTACATTTACAGCGTTAATTAAGAGCGTACAATGAGACTCCCACAAAAAAGGAAGTCGAGAAGAGAATATCCAGTTATTTATTACATATTTCCACGATTAATGAATTAATATCCAACGATTTAACTAAATGTGGAGCAGGAAGACATTCACTTTAACGTACTCTATTTGCAGGCGTGTGTGTAAATTCATTATTTAATGTTTAATACGAGAGTAATTTAAATGTCGGGTCGAAAAAAATCTTCAAAATATAATATTAGTAATAATATTTCAAAAAATTATATCTCAATATTAATTACATTACATTATATTATAATAATATAATTATTCTTAGTGTATTTTTTATTTCTCTTTCTTTTTTTTAGAAAGTAATAAAGATTTTCTATATCTAATGGCTACAAAAATATTCTACGCGACTTTTATGCAAAGAAACGCGACCATTTCCGGATTAAAAAACATGTCTTTTTGTTTACATAATTAATTATTCCGCCGTTGTATGCTTAAAAATAATATAATTATTATAATATAACATAATATGTAATTAATAATTAACAGAAATATTAATATTTCTATAGTCTTTTTCTGCCAAAATATTCAAGCTAGAAACTGTGACACAAAGCGTAGTTAACCGATTTCTTTATTTATTAATATTAATTCGCAGAATATATACAAGACGAATGAACGTGATTTTCGGTCTAGAGCTGCTCCTGATCCACAGTGATGATCAGGCACAGGTAGCTCGCACGAATCGGTGATAAGCATCGAGCGAGCGAAGCGAGGCGCGATAAGGCGCGCGATAACGGGCAGACGAATAGGAAGGAAGGAGTATTTGCGGCTCTCGATGTCAGAGGCTGTCAGTTTTCGCGATGAACGCGTTGTGGCTGATTACATTCCGCGTCCGCCGTGTCACCGAACAAACGGTTTTTCTTTCTATCTCGCGTTCGTGAGAATCCACACGGATACGGATACGACACGGACAGGTGCGCGCCGATCTCGCGGCGGGAAGAGGTGAGAGAGGGTCGATCTTCTCTCGTTCCGGCCGGGCGTTGCGTGCGTTATTTGTTACCCGCCAGCGCGTACTCGCTCGTAACGATTACGGTATCGACATGTAACTGCTGTACAATCGGGTGCTGCAATGGCGCTCGCTGCATTTATAATATAACACATTCAATGATCGTATTTCGCTGCAATAATTAGTCGCGTGGGATTTTCTTAGACTCCAGGAGAATCACTGTAATAATAAGACACTTCGCGCTTTTATTCTCTCGTTTTCTCAGCGTACATTTTCTATTTCTTTTCAGAAAATAATAAAGATTTCTATAATGACTACAAAAATATTCCACGCGACCATTCCCGGATTAAAAAGCATATCTTTTTTGTTTATGTAATTAATTATTCAACCGCGTTATGCATAAAAAGGATCGAAGCGTTGCGTGTTATGAAATATTCCTGCAAATGCGGACGCAGCGAACATTATTTTGAATATTTTGAAGAGTGCCAATTTCAATCGCGATACGTCATGCGATCTAAATCTAGATTATCAAACGATCGACCGTAATTGGAGTTAATTGGAACGGCAAAATATTGCGCACCGTTGGCAATTTACTTTGTAGCGAAATAGCAGAATAGCTCTTACGAAATTCGCGACAGCTTAGTCAGGAATATTGCGACGCGCGACGCCAACGACCTATAAATTGTGTCCACCTGCGCCGTTCATTCGCCTGCGCAACTAAATCCTGTATAGCGCACTCGTTATCGCGTGATATCGTTTCGCTGTATCAACAAATTTCTGACGCTCCATATTCACCGTGTGATCATACTGGCTTAAATCTCCGATTTACTTTCTATTATTTATAGAAAAGACAGACAATCTGGATAATAAATACGATTGAATCATATTAGATTTGACGCGAATAATAAAATTGTAGACGATTTTACATATTTTTCACGGCTGTGTTTTTTTCGATATTGCATAACGCTGATCGGTACAAGAGCAATTTTTTCTACAATCGCGTGATGCCGGATATCATTACGTGCGTTTTACATAGTTCGAATGAAATGCTTGCAAAATATATTCTGTATTATGCCGCCGATAAAATAAAACAACAAAGGATTGTAAATGCGGATTTATGCGGATTACGAGTTTCAAGAATTATGCGATATGACAAACGTTGAAATTGATTGAACTATTGCTTCGCATTGTAGAATTCCGCGATTTAGATATCAGATTTGCGATTGCAATTTATTGAGCGATTAAGGCTTAAAATGCCGCACGGCACGTATTCGATGGATATTCTTAGACAATCCATCAAATGACCAAATCGTTACGTCAACTTTTTGATTACTGCGAATATTAATTCATCATTATATTTTACAAAAATTTGCGTAATTTATCATCATTAAATATAACTGCGTTAAAAGTTAAAAAGTTGTGATAATTATCAAATGTATTTAATAAAAATTGGTTTAAATCATTATTAATTTATTTAATTGAAAAATTGCAGAGAAGATATTAGTTCGTGAAATCTTCAACAAAAACGAAAAGTTGCTGCGAAACAAAAAGCACTGCGGAAAAAGTGGAACGCACGTAAGATAACTGACATTATACTTTGTCTAAAGAGGATGATTCAAACGAATAAGCACCACATAAAAGCAGCTCGACGTAATTTACGATCCTCACGATGCGCGCAAACAAGACGTCGGGCGAGGAAGTTGCTTCGTCTAAAAAGATGTTACGTAAACCGTTTACATTCGAAGCTCGCGGTTTCGCGAGAAAGAGAATGAGACGTTGCATCTGAGAAATTGATAGGCACGTCTCTTGATACGTGTCATTTCGACACATTCGCACGCGTTCTTCCAAGACGCAGTGATTTCATAAAGCTGGAAAATAGTATAATAGACATTCTTCACATATTCTTGGTTACCGCTAAAGTTTTATTCACGACGTAACATGTGGCTGATAAGTACTTTTATCTCGTTGCACGGGCCGGCAAATTGCGAGATCGCAATTACCGTGCGTCTCTTGCCGTGGTTCTCATTTCTTTTATCTAGCGCTATCGAATGTATTGTATTTTTTTATTTTTTTATCTTAAATGCTTCTTGTTCTTTGCATTTCAAAAACTCAATATTTTCGCGATTTTTTTATTAATTAATTAAGATAAACTTGTGAACTTAGTAATTTATGTAAATATGTTGAATATTTTATAAAAATTTGCACAAGTTTTTAATTTTGATTAACGTAATTGCTATGCTAACATTTTAAAATCATCAGTATCACCGTTTGAAGTAATGTCTATTAACGCAAACAATTTTAATATGAATTCTGTAGAAAACATTTCGTAAATATTGAAACAACAGACTTTATGTAATCTTTTAAAAATATGTTAACAATTACAAATCACTTTTGAATGTCAATTTTATCTCGAGATAAGAATGTGAAGAATTAAAAAGATGATAACGCGTTCTTTCATTATCATTTTATCAGTTTCGATAATAAAATTTTCTGATGAAGAATGAAGAATTTGTCACATTGTTGCGGAGATTATAGCATATAATCTATCTTTCATTTGTATGCAGAATCGAGAATGCCGCTGTTCAAAGCGCGGGCGACGCCGAGATCGCCAATAACGGAGAAAGCTGCGAACGGCGGCGTGCAGCATCGCAACCATCATCAGCCTGGCAGTGACAATAATCATGACGGCGGTGCGAATACTAACGGTACCGGCAGCCGGTCGGGCAATAGCGTTCCTCTTCAACACGAACAGAAGAGACTGTCACCTTTGAAGCCGCCGCCGCTGGTCTTCCACTGTCAGCTGGCCCACGGCAGTCCTACGGGACTGATATCAGACTTCAGCAATGTTCGCGAGCTCTACCAGAAGATCGCCGAATGCTACGACTTGCCAGCTGAAGAGGTGAAAATGAACACTTAACGAAAAATAATTTTGAGCTTAAAACAACGTCGTTCTTGTTAGGCCGAGAATTTGTTATCCGATTCTTGTAGATCTCATCAGGAAGGCGCTTCGGTTTTCTTCAGAAGAAAATTTCAATACTTCGAAATGTCTTGAAATGTACCTATAGAAAATTTCTGTAGAGATATTGATGAAAAAAGGGCTTAGAAATTGGCGCGACAAAGCTGTCAGAGTTTACAGTAAAAAAAATGTGATGTTTGGTATTGATTGAAGTAGAGTTGTTTTTAATTTACGGGTGCATACGTAAAAGCGCACGTGCGAACGTAATTCGGTATTTCCAGCATTGAACACCCTACAGTCGTAGGGAGACAAGAGACCGGACGCAGGAAACGCCGGTCACGGGCCGTGGCTTCTCGTCGACCTGGCAGATATATCTCGGTGAAAGAAAGAGAGAGAACTGTCGTGTAATTCGTTGTGTAAACGCGGTCGTCACGTTGTAACCAGGTCGCTCGTCGAATCGTTATGGGTCGTTTGAAGCGCGGGGGTCGAGCTTCTCCGTCGCGATTTCTCACTGTCAATCAACTAAATAAAACCGTTGCCCGATGACAGCGTTGCACTTTATCCTAACAACGGTTAAAGAAAAGTAAAGAAATGAATGAGGATATAATTTATATAAAATGTTTGTCAAAAATTGAAATATAATAGACTTAAAATTACACAAATTTTTTAAAATAAAATTGTATTGTTCGAGAGATGAAATTTTAATAAAAGAAAATTTAATATAAAAATAAACCTGAGATCAAATTTGAATAAAAGTAATTAAGAATTGAGAATGAATTAATGTTACCACGTGTAATGCTTAATATTGAAAATAAAGTAAAAATTTAATGTTTCAGATTCTTTTTTGCACACTTAATACGCACAAAGTGGAGATGACGGAGTTACTAGGTGGACAAATCGGCGTGGGAGATTTTATATTTGCACACAAAAAAGGTTGCTATTTATTTTCTATAAATTACATACCTTAAGTATATACGAAATGGGTCAAGGAAAACTTTTTTCCCGTTTAACTTTGTAATTAATTAATTTGTGCAATTACAAAATGAATGGAATAAAAACTTTTTCTTGACTGACTCCGTATAATCATTTTAATTCTAACGGTACTTACATTTGTTGCGAATGTATGTAATGCTTTTTTTTTTAATATAGGCCGGCCGAAAGAAATCGAGCTGGTGAAGACAGACGACGCACTGGGCTTGACGATCACCGATAACGGCGCCGGTTACGCTTTCATAAAGCGCATAAAGGAGGGTTCCGTGATCGATAGGATAAAAGTAATCGAGGTGGGCGATCACATCGAAAAGATTGATTCGACCAGCCTCGTCGGCAGACGTCATTTCGAAGTGGCGAAGATGCTGAAGGATATACCGAAGAACTCGACGTTCACGTTGAGGCTGGTGGAGCCGCAGAAGAACGGTTTCGGCAGCATCGGGCCGCGCAGTGATCTCAGAAAAGGGAAGAAAACCGGCTATGGTTCCGGCAAAGAGACTCTGAGATTCAAAGCCGACGGTAGTGCGCGAATAGAACAAGTACGTGGCATAAAAATAAAGCTTGTAAAATTATTTAGAAAATATTGCGCTTAAGTAAAGTGGAAACAGATAAATGACAAATTTTGAAAGTAAATAAATAATATTATCAAGAGTAATTTTTGGATAAAATATTGATTTTCAAAAGTATGAACATTAAAGGGAAAGAATTTTCTATCGTGAAATATTTGAACGGTCAAAATTTACTCGAGTGTATATATATATTTTTCTTCTTTTTGAATAATTGCGAGAATCGGACGATATTTTAAATAAATATTTATTCTCAGGTTGACGATGCCGCTGCGATAGGTGTGGAAAAAATCAATAGCATCTTGGAGAGCTTTATGGGTATCTCCGATACGGAATTAGGTACGTTTTATTTGAATGTGTAATGTAGAAAGAATTTTTGGTAAATAATCGTTTTAATTATATTTTTAACGGACGCAATATTTGACGATCTTGATCTTGATATTTATTGTAAAGATGAAAATGCTGAATAACGTTTGCTTGGTTTTAATTGGTAATGTCATATAGTTCTTAAGATATGTTTTTATGTAAATGTTAAAATCTTAGTTATTATTATTTACATTTATAATTTAGAAAGATTTAGAAAGATTTAAGTAACAAGTCGCTTAAAATCAAGTCTTGTACGGGATTTTAATCTTTGTAGAATCTTACGATACTCCATACATATTAATAAGACTATAGAAAAAATAATTGAAATAAAGAAGATAAAATTTTTGATATATATTTATATAAATATATCTCAAACTCATCAAAATTATATGAAATTATTCAGCATTGTTATCTCTACAAGATGTATTTTGTATTGTATTTTTTATATCGCAGAAGATTGATTGTTCATTACATTTGATTTATATTTAGCCACACAAATCTGGGAGCTCGCCGAGGGCAAGTGCAACAGTATAGATTTTGCCGAAGCAATAGACAATTCCGACTTGGAGGACTTCGGCTTCACCGATGAGTTTGTGATCGAGTTGTGGGGCGCCGTGACAGATGCGAGAGCAGGTCGGCATCGATGACGCGAGGACTGATAACAAAATGATTAGCAATGATAATGCACACCGAAAAGAAATTCCAGGAAGAGAAACAACATTGAGACCTTTTTGTAAGACCTTAAACTCGGTAAAACAATGAAATGAAATTATATATTTATGAACGTACAACAAGTACTTTTTCACATGAAAAATGTTTCTCTCATGTTACCATAATTCCAGATATTTATTTATGATCCTGTAATTTTCTTGTAAGAATCAAGCATTCGACGCATTTAATGCTAAACGTACAGCGAGAATGTAGGCTGAAATCTGCAATACTCCACATCTTGTCCTAGATAGAACTACAATAACTACTGCATTGTATTATATGGCAAATGTAGCATTGAATTGAAGAAAGAAAAATAGAAATAAAAAATTTTTGAAGATTGTGTATATTGAAAATTAAACAGCTTTTATTTTGCTAAGTGAAGCTAAAAGTGAGTTTTTTCGTTATTAACATGATAAAGATTGATATTTATTATTAGTAAAGTAAAAATTATTAAAGATTACAAAATAAATTATTTGTAAAATATAAAAATTTATTAAAATATTGTTAAAGAACAGTGTTTTTTAAATCACTTTACAATGTCAAAGCTGATAAAGATTATTCAATCTACAGATACAGGCATTAAAAATGGGCATAATATTATTAAAGCGTAATATTATTAATGTATCTAATCAGTTGATAGAGAAATGATAACCAGACTTTATCGAGTTTCTCATGGAATTGCAATGCATTAAAGTGATATCAATTTCGATTTTCCTACATTAATAAAACGATTCTGTTTATTTAAATCGTTCTCAACCTACAAAGAGAAACAACTTAATATTAGTAAAAGAATTAATTATTCACCGGTTAGCGTAAACATATTTGATGTTATCAAACTACGTCATCATGATTATGAATGTCAACAATATTCTACCGCAATTAGTATTCATTAGTAGAGTTACGAAAGATGTTAGAAGCGATAAGAACGAATTAATATATTTTAATACATATATGTGAACGAATAGTTTACAATGTAAGTATAAGTGCGCGAAATATTATCATTAAGTATCGATGAATAAAATCTTTATAGCAAAGACGCATGACTTTTATTGATTATTCATGTCAGTTAATCGTATATACATATATATGAAATAAATAGTGAAACTATAAATGTACTGTTTTGGTGGCGATATTTATAGAATATAATAAGTAATGCTGCTGTGCCCGACTGACAATTGGCATCGTTATCTGACAAAGATAAGGATGAATTATTGAAGAAATCAGTCTTGCATTAAAACATACACATTATCTGCAGATATATAATACACAAAGCATATTATTTTAATGTATGAACGGCTGAAATATTTATTTTATACGTTTTACATCCATTTTTTTGCAACTTAAATGCTATTTTGAAAATCCACATACAGCAAACTAACTAACTTTATATTTATTAAAATAATATATTTTATAAATTCTAACAATTATTATTATGTGATATGCGTATTTAATACAGAACATTAAAAAAATTAAATATAATAATTCTGATCACTAGTTCCTTGTGATTATTTAATTATTTTAATCATCCTTAAGAATAAAAAAACATTTTGTCGAACAATAATAATCGGTTTGTCGTTATTTTCACAAAATTCTTTTGCATTTATTTGTATAAAATTAATTAGTTGCATTGTGTTTAGCATATTTATCGTAAATGTAGAATTATTTGATTCAAAGTATGTTTTGTGTATTAAGAAATGTAAATTTATATTTGTTTCTTATATTTCTTATATTTATATTCGTTTCTTATGCTTAAATCTTTATTCATCAGATCAATACATCTAGTTTTGCAATATCATAGAAGTTGACGTCCTTGCTGTGAAATCGCATATACATACAACATGGTAAACATGATAAACATGTTTTCTTGATAGAATCATCATATTTTACGGCACGCAAGATTGTCTTAAGAGATTTAGGCGATTTGCAAGAGGAAAATTGAAAGCAAAATGTAAAAAATAAAACCGAAAGAGACAGATTTAGAGTTAATAATACGATTTATATTAATAACAGTACTAAGCAATATTAGTGTAATTATATATCTTTAGGACGTCCTAAAAATATCCTACAAGATATTTTTGAGATTTCCTAAAAGAGACGTCATAAAGCATCCTGAAAACGTCATAAAAAAGTGTCTACGCAGCACATGTACGCGTTCTCGGTTGTGTGCGCACGCTGCTGTGGTGGATAAACTGGCATGTCTGGTCAGAGCGTCTGTGTCTGGTTAGTAATCGCGTTTCCACGCGCAAGCAGTTAAGGTGGTAGTAGTATTGTCGGCAATTGTCGGCATAACCTGCAGAATTGTGGAAAATTGCATTCGAAACAAAATCGTACACCGACGTTGATTTGGTTACAATAACGACGAAATTGAAAACAGATAAATAAAAAACTCTGCAAGTAAATGAAATGAAAATACAGAAAAATATATAATAGAGTGTACAGTGCGGTATCTGTGTGCTTAACCTCCTATGTCAAGAGACGTGCATAAACTTGCAAATAATAATTATTAGCATACAATGAATATGGCATTTGTGTTGAAAGGCATCGGTGAAATATTTTTGCGTTCAAGCAGCGTTTCGCGAGCTACTCGAGGTTCTATAAAAATATCTCGGGTACGTAAACAACACGTAACTGTTATTGCGTTATGTGTTATCAGTAATGATATACACATTATTATCTCAGATATATTTTATTTTTACAATATTGGTTAAATGCATCTAAAAAATTTTTTTAATTATTGACATATGTTGACGAAATATTTTAATGAATCTAATCCAATTTCAATTTCTTTTTTAATAGATATGCGCCGTTAATTTCTCTATCAAAGCAGATATCCCGGAAGTGGAAGAAGTCGAAAAGTTAAAAACACCAGTAGGAAATGGCAAAGTGTTTAAAAGCATAGAGGAAGCTGTGTCTGATGTGCACAATGGGGCCAAACTTTTAGTTGGTGGATTTGGCCTCTGCGGTATTCCAGAAAACCTAATAGCAGCTGTACTAAAAAAGGGCTCTAAAGATCTAACTGTAGTCTCAAATAATGCTGGAGTGGAAGATTTTGGATTAGGTATATTGCTAAAGGAGCACAGAATCAAAAGAATGATTGCGTCATATGTGGGTGAAAACCCTGAATTTGAAAGACAATATCTTAGTGGTCTATTAGAAGTCGAGTTAACACCACAGGTAATATTTTAACGCAGGAAAGTGTATACAGAAAATCTCACCAATCTTTACAAATTAAATCTTAATTTATGTAGGGTACTTTGGCAGAACGTGTGAGAGCAGGAGGTGCTGGTATTCCGGCATTCTACACTCCCACAGCTTTTGGCACCATCGTGCAAGAGGGAAATGTCATCGTGAAGTACGACAAGGATGGCAACGCTGAAATATCAGGAGAGTCAAGAAACGTAAATCAATTTGATGGTCGAAACTATGTGCTGGAAACCGCCATCACCGGTGATTTTGCGCTTGTAAAAGCGTGGAAAGCGGACTCTGCGGGAAATCTTGTCTTCAGAAAGTCAGCCAGGAACTTTAATCCGGTAATGTGCAAAGCAGCAAAGGTGGCAATTGTTGAAGTGGAAGAGATTGTGGAAATTGGTCAGTTGGATCCGGACCATATTCATTTGCCTGGTATTTTTGTGGATAGAATCGTGAAAGGACCTTCTTACGAGAAACGAATTGAGGTTGGCTTTCATTTGCCTTGATCAATATTTATCAGTATTATTATATTTAATTATATGCAGATGCTTATAAATGTTATTTTTTCTAGAAACGCTCAACAAAACAGACTATGAAGCCTAAAAAAGTGACCCCAGCTAGTAAAGCAAGAGACAGAATTATAAGACGTGCTGCTCTTGAATTTAAAGATGGAATGTATGGTAAGAATATAAGATAATAATATAAAATGAATAAAGTGTACAATAACATTAATGTACATTTTATTCATTTTCACTTCAGAATCTTATATCATATCATTTGGCAGGCCTAGAACTTTATTGTGATGCATTGAAATTTTATATTTCAAAGAAAGTAATAGTTTAGAATGTTAAAATATACATTTTATTCATTTTTATGCCTTGTAATGTTATATCATAACATTTATTAGGTTAGGTTAAGTTAGAACTTTAAAATGTACTTACTGTGATGCATTGAAATCTTATATTTTAAACACAGAAATGATCTAGAATTCTATAATATAAGATTTCAATGCATCGTAGTAAAGTTCTAGATCCATTAAATGATAAAATATAAGATTCTAAGGTATAAAAATGAATAAAACGTACATTTTAACATTCGAAATCATTTCTATGTTTAAAATATAAGATTTCAATGCTATATGTAAGAATAATTTTTTAATAACTTAGTGCAGTATTTGATAAAATAAAATTCCTTCCAGCAAACTTAGGAATTGGCATACCCATGCTTGCGGGTAACTACATCCCAAAGGGCGTGAAAGTGACGTTACAGTCAGAGAACGGTATTCTTGGTATGGGCCCGGTGCCGGAGAGTGAGAGTGACGTCGATGCGGATCTCATTAATGCTGGAAAAGAAACTGTCACTGTTCTACCTGGTGCTGCCTTCTTCAGCAGTGACGACAGTTTCAGCATGATTAGAGGGTATAAAATTTAGAATTTTTTAACATGTTGACTTCCACGTTCTATTTGCCGAAGTTCTATCAGATCATTTTTCAATTTACAGTTTCTAATCATAATATTTACTTTTATACGTACTTCATTATTGTTGCATATTTTATACAAAACAAATAAAATTGTCACTCATATATAGTAGTTAACGTTAAAGCGTTTATTTTCTCTTTATTGTAAATATATAAAAATATATGCAAATGATGTCTTGAATGTCAAAAAATAACATTTAATATAATTGTGTGTTTCCAGGGGACACATTGATCTGACTATTCTCGGAGGCATGCAAGTGTCGGAGAATGGAGATTTAGCTAATTGGATGATACCAGGTACGATGGTAAAAGGCATGGGCGGTGCCATGGACCTTGTTTCCGCGGCGACTACGAAAGTAGTAATAACCATGGAGCACAAAGCCCGAGACGGAAGTCCGAAAATTTTGAAAAACTGCACCTTGCCTGTCACAGGTAACTTGTTAGAGATATTAATACTCTACAATTTTTTGTCTTCTAAAATTTTGTCCACATTACTGCTTTTAACATTTTCTTATTTAATCGTATATCATATTTTAATATATTAATATATTTTTTTTT